TCCGATCTCCGCCCCGCAACCAGACCCCTCCCTGTCCCCACTCCAGTGCTGAGGTGTCAGGTCAGTTGAGGCTGAGGGCTGGGTTGGTCTAGCGCAGCACCCAGGGAGCCCAGCCCCACGGTGCCCGTCCCGATGACTCTCACTGTGCCAGCACGCTGCTCGCTGGCACGTACTCCGGCCTCCCTGGGGACCCGCTAGGGAACTGTCCAACCTCTGCGTGACCCAGTGAATCACCAGTGACCCCCTCCCTCATCCAGCCTTGAGAAAGTTTCTAAACTGCCTCCTCTCAGCTCTCATCACGATTAGTTTCTCTTCCTTCTCAAAGCTTCTCTGAAAGCAATTTCCACCTCCCGTCTCATTTTCCTTCTCCCGACCAGCATTGGTACGTCTTGTGCCCCAGCCCATCCGTACTTGGATTGTCCGGCCCAACCTCGGTCTGTGGCGGGGCCTGGGGTCAGCCCTGTCGCCCTGCCCCGTCCACCTGGCCCCCACCCAGTTGCGAGGCCCCCTGATCCCCCGTTCCATGCTTCCTTCCTCAGGGCACTAAGGCACAGTACCTGGCAGCCAAGGCCCTAAAGAAGCAGTCGTGGCGATTCCACACCAAGTACATGATGTGGTTCCAGAGGCACGAGGAGCCCAAGACCATCACTGACGAGTTCGAGCAGGTGAGGGCCCCTCCCTGTGCCCCGTCCACTCTGGTCCCGCTGGCTGAGTCCGGGTAGAGTCCCCACTCCACACGCAGACGGCTGCCCGCTCCCTTTGCCACCACCTTCAGCCAGCTCGGTCCCTCAGGCCATCTGCCTTGCCTGGGACGCCGTCCTCTTCCTCACTGGCCAGCTCGCGGTCACCCCAGAGGTCCCAGCCTCCATGTCCTTCCTCAGAGGAGCCTTCCCCAGGCACGCACACAGCCTGTGCCTCCGCCCCTCCTCTGGCACGGTGGGGGGATGTGGTGTCTCCCACCCAAGACCATGGGCTGCACCGCACGGGGACCTTGACAGTCCCCAGCACCCAGGCAGAGAGGGGCTCAGCAAACTCGGATGGGGAAGCTCTTTTGTTGTTCTCGTAATTGATTGATTGGGACCTCCCACTTGCAAAACACTCTGGAGCCAGACTACCTGGTTTGGAACCCAGCTCTAGCTGGTGACCGTGGACAATTCACTTGAACATCTGTCTCTATTTCCTTATCTGTAAAAACGGGGTAACAGCACCTACCTTTATGCAGTTGTTATGAGGATTAAATGAGTTAATAACGTGTAAGTACTAAATGGTGCCTGCTATGTAGTGTCATGGGCGTGCTGTACTTTATTTCAACTTTTAGTTGGTATGTTCCACAGTGTTGTTTTTCCACCAAATCTTTACCTGATGCCAAGCACTGAACAAGGGCCTTGTCCTCAGGGAACTCAGTCTTCTCCCCTCCATTCCTTCAGGTTCTTTGAAGCATTTCCACCATTCATCAGAACCCGGCCCCATTCCCACTGTGTCTTCTTGGACACTAACTACAGACATCCTGTCCCCTCCCGGTTTGGTCCAAAGTAATCCTCTAAGTTAGTGTATTTCCAGGCATCAATCCTTCAGAAGTTCCCACACCACCGCTGTTGCCAGTTAAAACGTCTGTCCTGGCAGCGTGCCTGGATGTATGTAGACTCCAAGCCTGTTCCATGGCCTCAGGGGTTTTGTGAAGACTAAACCCTAGAACATACATCACATACTCAGCACGTGATCGATCAGTGCTCGGAAAGCCAAAGCCAACTGAGAGAAGCAATAGGATGTTTGGCACACGTGCCCGGGGTCGAGGCCCGGCTCTGGCATGTGACCTCCCTGTGCCTCCCTCTGCTTCCTCTGGAGCGGGAGCGATAATGTTTCCCACCTGAGAAGAGCCTTGTTGAGGGTGGAGTGAAACGGCGTGTGCATGCAGGGCAGTTGGCCTGGTGCCTGGCTCCTCCATGGCCCTAAGACCTGTCCCTCTGTCGGTCTGACCCAGATCCCCGACCACCTCGTCCACTCACTGACCGCCTTCTCCCCCGGCCAGGGCACCTACATCTACTTTGACTACGAGAAGTGGGGCCAGCGGAAGAAGGAAGGCTTCACCTTTGAGTACCGCTACCTGGAGGACCGGGACCTCCAGTGACACCGGCCCCTCCCTCCACCCTTCCCTCCCCC